TAAGAGAGACAGAGACAGAGAGACAGAGATTCCCCATTCCCATTCTTATTTTAACCAAATAGAAGAACGGTGTCAGGAAATCTCTTTACCGATGGACTACTGGTCTTAAAAAGCTATTTAGAAAATAACTCTATATAAGTCTATTTTAATGTCTAAGATCCCAACCTTCTTAAAGAAATGTTAGTCAACCATGACCAGGACAGCTCATTTCTCTCATAACAGGTGAAGAAAACTCGAAAAATGTTCTAAAGTTTGTCCCTACAATTCTAAAAAGACAATGGAAAGTATCAGTGGCACTATTTGAACTGTTCCCTTTCCGTAGGAAGGAACTCAGCCTGAAGAGTTGGTGTACATTAATGATTAACTAAGTGAACTTCTGCTTTTCTGACTGCTGGCTGCCAGGTACTAAATAAAATGTATCACAACCAAAAAATATAACAGAATTACATGTATGAGAGCCTTCAAAAAAAAGATTCTTGTGGAAGTTCACAAAGCTCTTCACAAACTCAAGGCACACTAAGTCGGTCTATGCAAAGCTTCTCCAAAGATGACTATCTGTCCTATCACCCCTGATAATGCAAGGAAGACGTTAACATAGGAAAGATGTAGAAATGAATTGCTGCATGATCTTGACAAAAAACCTGATCTTGCCAAAAAACCTGATCTTGCCTAAAAAATAAGATGGCAAACCCGATTCATTTCTAAGGAAGCTCAACACTGAACTAATAATGTTCACATGTCATGGATTTATTCCAGGACTGCATGAGAGCATTTTGGATGGGGCGGAGTCATCTCCAATACTCTTGTGTATTTCCAAATAAATTGTATGTGATAAGCTTTTTGGTACAAGCATCACACAGACTTACACAGTCTATAAACGTTCTACAAATTAAGTACACTCCAAAAGTTATGATGGCGATAATATGGTGAAAATGAGTATGAAACAGCAAAGGTCTTCTCACCCAGAGAGAAAGATACTGCCATTTTGAAAACTGAATTGTGCTACTTTTTGATATGCCCGAATGATTATGCCCTTGTCAAATCAATCTATCTTTGGACTTGAAATTGGTCAATTGTAATTTAAATTAAAACTGTAACCAAGACCTCAGTTCCAAGTATAGCAAATGAGCATATTTTGTTACCATAAGCAAACCATTTTAGGAAAGCACACCTTTTCCACCTAGATTCTTTGATAGGTGAAATCAGTAGTTCTCATCAACAAGTTTTTTGGGGAAAATCCCCTCTGTATAAATAAAGTGAAGGTATTTGGGGTAGGGATGGGAAGTCATTCGAGTATGTGTCTAGAGAGGACCTGTCACCTAGAAGTGCTGCCTGCTCTATCAACTGGCCTGCAGAGAACCACACCAGCCCCAAACAGCCTGGAGACCTCCTCACCCTCTTTGCTTTTGACTTGCTAGTTTGGTTTTCTGTTTGTTTTTCATGCCTATGCTTGTAAATGTATAAGATAGGAAAACAAATCAAAAGAGGTAAAGCCCTCATTAGATTGCCTTCTTAATCCAAGCCAGGCAGAAAGAGAATGAATCGATATTCAGTACTTTGGACATATTGGCTCTAGGAAGGTAAACAACAGCAATAAAACAGGAATCCTATTCACCTGTATTTTTATCATCATTTATTATTTGGCTGTGGTTGATCATCGTTTTTCTTTAGGGCTTTCCAAATAAGAGTACCCAATCTTAGAACTAAATTTAATTGCTCTGTGCCTCACTGGAGCGCAACTGTAATCCAGTAGTCAATTCAAGAAAATGAAGATTAACATTTTCTTTATAACCTCTGTCTTTAAGATTTTTATCTCGTACATAGGCTAAGTTAAAGTACTTTCATTTCAGAGGCAGATGTGAACTTTTAAACTAATTATATTGAAGGGAAATATAACTTGTAGAGGAGGCTTTTTTTGTTTTGTTTTTTTCTTTTAGGACTGAGAATGTACACCTCTTTGCTTCTGAGTTAAGGCTGTTTGTTTTCATTACATACTTCACAATGGTATTGTGATCAGAAGAATTCCAAATTCTTTGTATTCTGCCAGAAAGAATTCATGGCAGGTCACGTGAATGTAAAGGGAGTTTATTAAAAGTTAGGGGAAAGAAAAACAAAGGGAAGAGTGATGGTGCCCAGGCGGAAGTCAGAGGCTGAGAGCCCTTTAGGTGCTTTTAAAACCTACCATAACCTATGGGAAGGGGCGGACCAGGGGATTCGTATTCAATAATCAATGAGTGGGGAGGCCCTGGGCAGCTCCCAACAGGTGAGGGTGGTCTGGGCCATCCCCGGGCAACCTACATGAGCCCCAAACTTTTCCTACTTCTATCCTGCCTCAGTGTCAGTGAGAGATGCGTTTGGGACACAGGTGAAGCTAGAATACACTAATCTGTACACGGCCTTGGTATTTACGTAAGTCTAACTAACAAGTTAAATTATTGTCACAAAAAATGATAGGAAAAATTTATCTTCAGGCAATCGTTTCTTCAAGTGTTGCTAACTTGCTAAATGAAGATTCATTATGAAATTTATAGCTGATGTCTTCATTGTGAAGTAAGCACTACGTTTTCATTTTCAAAAGCTCCTGCTTGGGCTTTTGGCCTCCCAGAAACGTCAAAATGCCGGCTTGTTTCCACCTGCGGGGGTAGTGCCAACCAGGGGTGCGCACTCTGAGTCCTCCTCTAACCAATTGGGGTGGGGGGGCTAACCAGTGAGAACATAAACATGAAAACTTTCTGGTCGCTAACTCTACTCCTAGTCGCGATCAAAAGTGATCCAGCACTGGGAAGACACTGGCTTTTGTTCCAGAATCACCCAGATAGCGAGGTAAGCGCCCCGACAGTCCTTCATCCCTAAAGGTCGGGCGCTATTCCACGGGTCAGGAATTTTGGAGTCTCACTCAAAAAGTCCATTTCCACGCCCTCTGTGAGCGTGGGTGTATAAACACGAAAAGGGCACGAGGGGTGGGCCAGAATGGAGTCCTAAATGCCTTCCCAATTCTACTCCAGTGTCAGGTTCACAAAGTGAGTCTCCTCTTCCGCTGAGGGCGCGAGCGGGGCGGAGCTGGGAGGACGCGCGAAGTGCGGGAGAAATGGGTACAAGCAGGGTACCCGGGCTTCAGTCACGCTGCAGGGCCCGCCCCGCCTCCGGGACAACCAGCAAAGCTACTGTGTGTCAGTGGCTTTCGGCTTCCTGTTTGTAAGCGAAAAGCTCCCTCCCCGACTTGGGACCCGCGATCGGCCTCTAACCGAGCCAGCCCCGCGCTCGCGCGGCCCCGGGCGACGGAGGGGGCAGGGCTCGGACGCAGCGCCCCTCCCCAGGCTGCGCTGCGCTGCGAGGCGGACAAAGCGCCTCCCGCACCTTCCCCCACGGCCGCGTTCCAAGAGGGAGGGGAAGGCGGGCCGGAGGGAAGGGAGGAGGAGGCGGGGAGGGAGCGGAGGAGGGGAGGAGGAAGGCGCAGCCGGCGGGACCGGGCTGGAGCGCGCCGGAGAGAAGGGCGGGGAGGAGGGGCTGGGCGGCCTCGGGGAGCCGGGAGGAGGGAAGGTTCTTCAAGCCCAAGATAAACAAATTGTTCCTCTTCACGTGCAGGGCGGGGGAGGGGGGGTGGAGGGAGGAGATGGGGAGCGAGCGCCGTGGCCTCTCTTCTCCTCCCATCCCCTCCCCCAAGCCGGCTCTTTGTCACCGAGCGCCCGGCGAAAACCCGCGGCGGCACGGACACCACCCCCGGATCGCCCAGACTCCGGCCAAGGGGCGTGCGCGGATGAGAAGCCGCACACGGAAAGGGCCGCCCGCGCGGCTCTGCGCCGCCGATCGGAGCGCGGTGTGCACGGGATCCGTGCGCTCCATCCAGCCTTCCCATCGCCCGGCCCTTCCCGCACACCGCGGGCGCGGAGGGGAGGAGGGCAGACACCTTTCCCAAGCTTCCGGCCTCCCCCCGCCGAGAGAGGAAGGCCAGGGAGCCCGGCAGAGAAGATAAGAGAAAGGATTCCACCCTCGGGTTAGGGGGTAGGAACAGCCCCTTCCTCCCCAAGAAGTTAAGCCATTGGCTGCTCCTCCTACCGCGAACCCACCCACCCAGCCATTTAAGCCTCTTTCACCTCCCTGCTCCCCCCACTCCTCCGGGCTCGTAACGCGGGCTCTGTAAAGTTGGCGGAGAGCGGGGCGGGGGGCGAGGCGGAGAGGGATCGGAGCGAGCAAGTTGGAGGGGAGGAGGGGAAGAACCCCAAGCCAAGCTGTATAGCAGGGACTCGGCGCCAGCCCCCGCCCCGGCGGGCCGCGTCCCTCCCGACCCTCCAGGCGGCTCCACCTGCCGGGCTAGCCCAGGGTCCCCAGCGGCGAGCGCAGCGCACTCGAGCCCCGCATCCGCGCGCGCTCCCGCGAGCGCGCGCGCGCGCTCGTAGCCACCCTCGCTCATTTCTCGCCCACTTCAAAGTTCATTCACAAAACTCTCAGACTTTCTCAGCCCAAAAGGGGTGAGCGGGGAGAGAGGAGGCGAGAGACTCCCCCTTCCCCCCTTCTCCCTAGAGGTCGAGGGCCTGGTGCCCGCCGGGAATCCGAGACAGCATCAATTTCGCTCTGCACCCGGCGGATGTGATGAGAGGGGTGGGCGAAAGGGGACGCGTCTGGGGAGGCGCGGCGAGAGGTGAAGTGGGGGGCGGTGAAGAGAAGCAGGGATTCAACTCCGGGGTTCACTCTTTCAAATCGGTATGGAAGAAAGGGAGGGGGGAAACTTTTCCAGCCCACTCCGGCGCTCCTCGAGGTTCCCTCCGCCCCTCGCAGTCGTGACTGGCTTCTCCCCCTCTCGCCCCCTCCTCCCCAAACCTGACAACCCTGACAGATTAACAGGTAGCGGCAACCACTGTTTTTTTTTTTTCTTTCCCGAGAAAAGTTGACGTTAACCCTTCGGCTTCGTGCAAATCAGACCCTTCACACCCCCATGTAAGAAGCTCCACGCCCCCCCCACCGCGCGCGCGCCCCGAGCCCGCTTGCCAGTGCGCCCTCACCATGATCAGTGTGTGGTTCCTCTGCTCAGCCGAGGTAGCCTCCGCATCTTGCTGGGGTTTGCTGGGGTGCTGCTGCTTGCCGGTGCCGGCGCCTGATTTCTTGGCCCTCTGCTCCAGGGTCCTCTGGTAGAGGCTCACGGTGTCCCGGCGCTCCAGCTCCAGCTGCTCCACCTGAGCCTGCTGGTACCTGTTCTCGCAGTTGACGTGGTGCCGCCGGCAGCCCTCGATGCGCTGGCGGAGCCGCTCGACCACCGTGCTGTGCTTGGGAACGACGGCCGAGCTGCCGCCGGGGCCCCCGGAGCCGCCGCCGCCGCCGGCAGCGGGGTGATTGCTATTCGGAGCAGCGGGAGTACTATTATTCACACCGATCCCGGCCGCGCCGAGGCTGCTGTTCAGGCTACTGTTGATGCAAATACTACTGCTATTCGCGGCAGCAGCGGGGGCTGCGAAATCCCCCATCCTGCTCCCCGGGCACACTATTTTGGAAGAACTTTTTTTATCCACCCCCCTATCAGCCTCCTCCTTGGGTCCAAGGATTAAAATAGTTTAAGTGGAACGCGGGGGAGACGCAAACACATGGATGGAAACAGCGATCCCGACGGGGCGAAGAAAAAAAAAAGGGGGGGAAGAGATTTTGGGGTGGTTTTTTTTTGTTTCCTTTTTTAAACTGTAAAGCTCCAGGGAAAAAAAGAGGGGGGGTTGTTATCGGAATACCATCAGACACCTATCAACAAAAAGAATCACAACAAACTGAGCCAGCAGCAAATCGGGTTGCAACTCAAGGGGAGATCCGCTCCTCGCCTGCCTTCTTTTTATAATCCATTATTTTCTAATAAATTCCAGGAGATTTCCGGTGGTTGGCACGCATTTTCTCCCTACGTACCGAAAAACACACCCCATGTACACACACAAGCATCTGCCTCCAGTGCGGACACGCGCGACACACACTCACTCCACACCGCATCGGAAAACGGCAAGCTTGCTTATTGCATTTTCCTTCCACAAAAAAGTTTTGGTGTTTATGCCGCCCCGTGTTCTCAAAGTACTTTGGCTGCTCAGTTGCATTTCACAGGAGCCTAGATATCGGATCCTCGGGCTGGGGGAAGTAAACACATGGACAGTCCGAGGCGACTGCAAAAGTAGATCGGTGAAGTCCTTTGCAAAACGCCGCGCGGAGAGCAGCCCCTAACGCTCGGCTGGGCTGCCGCTGCCGCCGCTGCTCCTGCCACCATCACAATGATCAACTGCTCGCCGCCGCCTCCTCCTCCTCCTCTCGCTCCTCCACCTCCTCCTCCTCCTCCATGCCAGCGGAGTGATATCAGGACGCGCGAGCTCAGTAAACACGGCAGCGGCAGCGGCTGGAGCCGTGAGACAAGCCCGGGGACACGGCGCAAAACCCGGCCCGGACTCTCACCCGGCAGGAGCGGGCGCGGCGCGCATCGCCACCCGGCTCCCGCCCCCCGCCTCCGTCGCCTCGCCCTCGCCGCCCCTCCCACGGCCCCGAGCTCGCTACTCCGCTGGCTGGGAAGCCCGAGCTGCCTGGAACCAGGAAAAGAAAGATTCTGGGGAGGAGGGGGGGGTGGTGATCTCAGAAATCAATCAACTTTTGACGTGTGTGTTGTGTGTGTGCGCGCGCGCGCGCGTGTGTGTGTGAGATGTGGTGTGTGAGTCCGCGCGCGCTTGTGTGTACGTGTGCGCGTGTGAGTGCGCGCGCGCGCCTGTGCGCGAGGACAGCCGCGGGGACGCGCCTGTCTGGATTTCCTTATTCCAAACGAGGTATCTATCTATCCATCAGGCGAGTCCAAGTCGTTGTTACACATTTATGCGTTGTGTTGCAGAATTGTGCATGACCAGGCAGAAACATTGCAGCTTCACAGCAGTTGTCTGTCATTCTCATCCATGTGGAAAGAAAAAGGCAAATGAGTGACTTGTTTTTAAAAAGCCAGGTAGTCACTCCTCCTAGTAATAACCCTGCTCATGTACACTTGCTCAAACTCTAGGACAGGTTTCACACAAACATGGAATTCGTAATAAATAGAAATAAGAAGCCAAACAATTCAGAATATCATTTAATTCGCTGTACATAACGATTGTTGTTATTAAGGCAATTACTGTTTTACTTACCCTTAGAAAAAAATTAAAATAAAGCAAGCAGAGACTTGGAGGTGAGACTAACAGTGCATTTTAACAGACTGTTTTGAACACTAGGTGCTAATGACAGCAGTAATTAAGGGTCCTTCGTAAATCAAGTGGAAAGATTGCAGATTTCATGGACTAGAACTATAGGAAAAACACAGCATTTCACAGTTTGTCATGACCAAAACAAAAACAAGCAAAAATAACAGGCTTACTTTATCGCGGGATACATTTCTTTCTAGTTCAATGAATTCACAATAAGTACAATTAAAATGGAATAGCTGCAATGTAAAGTTTTCGTTTTATTATGGCAAATTATCTTTCCAGACCTAGAGTATCTAAAAACAATGATAAGGGTCAAGTAGCCTTGATTCTGGACTTAAACCATTGCATATTCATAATTTTGTAAGTAACTAAAATGAAGAAGCTGCTAGTATGTCTGTGATCATCATTTGGCCACAGATCTTGATTGTGAGATGTTAATTATAAAGCATTTTGTATTATCTCAATAAATCATATGGAATTAGTTTTTAGGGTAAAAATACACCCCAGTTTCTAAAATAGTCAGGAATAAAAGAACTTTGGATCTTATGCATTAGTCATGAGATCTGATTTACACCATCTTTATTTCTTGGCATTGCAGATTTGCATAGAGCGTTATTTCTAATCTTATAATGCCAGTGATCAGAAGCTATATTTTGCTTTAATTAATCAGGTCTAGATGGTGAGCTATATCCTAATGCACACTGGATGATGTGGTAAAAGGGTCAGCAAAATATTATTTACCATGGTGTGAGGCTACCTCAGTAGTAAAACCAATGTGAGAGTGTTGAAGTTGACATAACCTTTTCGGAGGGTTATTTAGTTAATATACAAACTTCTGAATAAGAACTGCCTCTCAATCTCAATCAGAAAATTGAACTGAATTAGTTCTATAGAAAATGAATCCATTCACACTCTAAAAGCATGCAAAAAAAATATTACAGGAAATTATAATAATGGAGGTGCCAAAACAGTCTTTATCTTTCTTATATAGTCACTAAGCAGTATTCTGGTAGCTCAGGAAGCACATAGCTTCACCACCGAGGGGAAGCTATGACTCTGCGTTCACTCTTCTCCTCACAAGCGTTTAATTCTTATCTCTACTTCTGCCCACTTGCCCAGGACACCAGCACAAGACTGCAACTTGATTTACACAGACAGCAAGATAGGGGTTCTCCAGCACTGGATCCTCAGTTTTCAGGCAAGGGTTCTCATTCTAGCATTTTCTTATGACTCAGATTGAGAGTTTCTCATTCTGGGGGAAAAAAATGACAACAATAGCAGCACCTTGGGAGTCCCATCAAGTTCACTGTCTCGTCTAACATGAGGGGGAAAGAATTTGCATCTTTCCCTTTGGGGGACCAGCAGGTAGAGGAGCATACTTTGTGGCCTTCCCAAACAGCTCTCCAGTGACAACTGGAGTGCTCAGTAGATAATACTAGAATTCTTTGCTGTCAAGGTTTAGAGTATGAGTGGGCTATACCCAAAAGAAAAACTGAGTTCATAAGATATATACACACACAGAGTCACCTATCTCTCCAAGATGGTGGAAGTGGCAGTCACAAATTCTAAGATCAAGATGTAGAAGGAAAGGAAGAACCATCAAGTTGTGAGATGGTGAGAGGGGATGGGTCTTTGAGAAAACCCACCTGTGCTTTACTCCACTGTGCATACATGAGGTCCGAAATCCCATCCTAATTGTGCTGTGTGATTATAAGAAAGGAGCCCGAAGTGGACAAGACATGTGTATTGAGCGATATAGACAAGTCTCTCTGAGTTACAGATGTCCATCTATTCTAATAAGCTTAGAAGAAATACCAAGATTTATATGGCTATTTCTGGATTCACCTTTCTCGGTCACCATCGTAAACAACTCCTTGATAGTCATAGAGAAATCCAGATTCAGAGGAACCAAGTTTAGTCCCTTCACACAGCAGGTACTGATAATATGACCATGGTCTGAACAAAGCAGAGCTTAGGATGGGAGCCATATATACATCATCCATGCTCGTAGTTCTTGAATGGCCAAACTGAATCTGAAATGCATAACAGGGATGAGATAGAAATTATGATGGCTGTATCCTCATACTGTGATGATAGCTCCCTTAGTTCTAAAGAGAGAAAGGCTTAGTGACAGTCCCTGCACCAGGTTGTCCTGCAGCTGTGGCCCTGAGCCATGGTTGGCAGTTCTGAGAATTGAGCCAGGTTCTTTTTTCTCTGTCATCCACCCATGTCCATCTGATGGAGCCCATTGACAAGAAAGAGGTCTTGGTATACAGATTCCATTTTATATATGGTTTCTGTATCCCTGTTACCACAATCAGTAGAACTGGCTGTATAACTGTACCCTAAAAGAGCACTTTGATGACTAAGATAGAATAAGAAGTCTGCTGCCCACATACAAGTAAGCAAACTTTTATATAACCTTATGGAGGGGGCCCAGGAATTCCTGAAGTACTAGTCAATTGTCTAGCAATTTCAGTAATTCTACAAATACATTTATGGTCTTTGGTGTGCCAGGCACTGAGGATACAAAACACAGCCTCAACCTCAGTGAACCAGGGCAGTAGATTCTATGACAAGACTGAGCTGGGAAGGGTATGGGAACAAGTAAAAGACTACATGCTTGGGGATGGATGAAGACTTTTCCAGAAAAAAACTGGTCAGTAGTTCCCTCTTACAGGACTATGAGCGTAAGAGGGTGGGATAAGAGATAAGCCTGAGGGGGGAGGAAGCAGGAGCCAGATTGTTGAAGTCTGTCCAGAGTTTAGACTACATCCTTGGGACAATGGCTGCCATGAAAAGGATTTCAACTGATACACACTTTTTACTTTGGCAATGTATTCAAAGTGTTATTGTAGTGTTTTAGAAAAACTCAGCCCCTTCAGATGCTTCACCAGAAAGGCTTCCTAGCCAAGGAAATTTAGGAGGTGATCCTATTGCATCTTTCTCAAAGATTCAGTACATTGAAGGACACAAGAAGTTGTGCAAAAGCACGTTAACTTTGTTTAACTTAGCAGTACAGAAATACCGTTGTGTCCCACAGAACAGAACACACAATAGGACAGTGTGTGCAGGAGAGACTGGAAATCAAGGAGGCTTTAAATTCACTTCAATTTTACAACAATCTTCTTGGTGGGTAGCATGAGTCAAAGACCACACCCCCCTCAGCATCTTCTCTTGTCAGCATCCCTGGTACTCGGGACTCAAGGCCCTTCAGCAGCCTCAGCTGGATGTGTTGAATTCTGATCTTTAAGTAGTGAGGCAATAGCCACACAAGACAGAAACCTCAGAAGGATGACTTTGCTCGCCTTTTTAGCATCAGCCCTCTGAGTGTATTAATATCTATCTCTGTGTAACAAAACCTCCTTACTGGGGGAAAGGTCAGCCTTATTTAACTGAAAATCTTAATTATGTGGTATCTTTTAAGATGAAGAGTTTCATTACTTTGGAAGCCCACACTCCATCTAGCTTAACAAATACTGGCCTCTTGGAGCTATTTTAATGATTTCCTTCTATCTGGTAAACCACGAGTTATATGGGTGACACTCCCCATAGACTAAGGGTCTTCCCAGTTTGTTTGCTTAAGTAGTTAAATATTCCTAGTTATAGTCTATTTACATTATTAATTTTCAGTTTTTTTGCTAAGGAGGAGCTTACTGAGCCCTAGACCATGTCATCAATTTTGAGAGGAATAGGAATTAATGGCTTATTTTCTTTTTCATGTATTTTAAGATGTATAGAATGGTTTTAGGGTTATTAGGGAAAAGGTGATCTAATGTCCATCCCAGGGAAAATTTTAAAAGCCTTTCATTATTTCACATATTACTCTATTCTGATGCAAAATCATCTGATAGCAGAAGGCACCTGGCTTGAGCAAGGTAACTTCCATGATGGAGAGTGAAAATTCTTGAAAGAAGATATGAATTTTAATTTATTTTTTAATTTTTGTTTTTGTTTATTGCAGGCCTATAATAAGCTAAGTTGTTAACTTTAGAAAAAATTCATTTTAACCACTCGCAGTCACTGAAAACTCGTCCCATTCCTGGGGTTTCCCTAGTGAAGACACTAAGGCACAGAGAGCTTGAGGAAATTTCCCTAAACCACACAGCTTCAAGTGGCAGAGAGCAAATGTGAACCCAGGCAATGGCCCCAGAGCACACGTACAGAAGGACCCTGTAACTAAGTTTAAGAAGAGTCTTTGTAAGTTTAAG